GTAACAAGGCTGGTTAAATAGATTGGCTCTGCCATTAGATACTGCAGCTCTGAGTGCCCCTGTCATGCTCCAGTGTTCCCTTTTCCACTCGGATAAATATGAATCTTCCCATCAGAGCATTACTGGAGAGCGGGTTGATTTGGAAGGGGCCTCCAGAATCTATTGCAAGTGAGGCTGACAAGCTTTGAAAAAAAATGTCTTGAAGCCAAACATTTGGCCTTATTTTGCTCTATGTGTAAATATATTTTCGTCTGTATGTAAATAGATTGTTAATTTTACAGAGAGCAATATGATTGCTTACAGATGTGACTTAAAAGTGATTAAGAGGAGAAGGCTGCATAAGGTACCAGTTTGGGCTATACTGATACACAGTTAAGTCAAATAACGGAAACAAAAATTTTTGATCCATAGAAAATTTTAATATTTCAGTAACAAAAAAAGAAAATTATTTTAAATGGAGGTAGAACAGGGAGAATACATTTTCTTTTACAATGATAATGTTAAAATTTTGCGTAGAGAAAGATCAAAATGATGTTTTCATGATGATAGGTTTTAGTTACTTCCAGTGTTTCCAAAACTGAAGCTGTCCAGATATAAACCATCTAAGTTGTACTCAATAACAGTTTGTCTGGTGAACAGCCAGGGAAACCTTGAATGCTTTTGGTGTGCAGGAGTAGGTATTTCAGTGTGCTATATTCGCACCAGGAAAATTTTGTAATTCTGTGTGGTTTAAAACTATTAGAATCCGACATATTACAGTGTCCCACCGGACACTGTAAAAAAATCACAGAGATTGATACCAATTTCCTGTTTCTTCATTTTAAAAAAATGCATTGAATTGAAACGGGTTCTTATCAAAGGGGAAAGGAAAAATATATTTCACCTTTCTCAAGCTAGGGTTAGCTAGATTATTGGCTAGCATGCATCTGTATACAGATGGAAGGGCCCAATGTCACTGATATGACAAAGTGTTTTACTCATGGATTTCTGCTTCTTATATTCATTGATATATTTGTGGAATTCCAAAGGCAGAGGGAAGCCACAAAAAGGTCACCAAAATGCAAGCCAAGATAAACAGCCTATCAGAATATGTAAACCACAGAAAAAAATATAGAAGGGAGAGGAAAACCTATTCCCTTGGAAAATACATTTCCTGGTTGGAAAGGCATTGAAGTTTAGAAATGCTTATGTTGTTTCCTTGCTCTTTTCCCGTAAATTGTCTTTGTTCTCTTTGTTAATTCAATCCACGGTCTGAGGCACTCAGGCCATGGGGAATATGTTCTGCAACAGGTATAATGGAAGACATTGGGGGCATCATGACTAAAGGCAAAAAGCATCTTCTGTGTCAGGAAAGGAGATTGGACTACCTCTTTGTAATTCTAAGGAATTTGTAATTCTAAGGAATTTTCCTTAGTAATATTTGAATAATGTGTGCAGCACCAGGGCTTTTCCTTAGTTGTTGCCAGAGGGTTGCATTTTCTCCTCTGTACGCTGCACAAAAGAGAAGGATTCTTCATTTGGTTCAATGGGCATTTTAGCATTTTTTACTCAGTCACAAATGGAAAAAGGCTTCTCAGTTCTTGGTTATTTATCCTAGTTTTCTTGCAGTTCAAGTACAAGCTTCTTTTGCTGAGGAGACAGTTTTTGGCTGGCTATGCTGCTGTCCCTTCTGCTTTTTAGGCCTGTGACATGAATCTGCAGAATTACATAGTGCAGTCTTTTAAACGCTAAAGCATCTGAACCACTTGTTTTATAACTATTCACAGCAAGTTCAGACTTCAGTCCAGATGTGCAATGCAAGGAATTTATTTGCATAGAGGATTCTTTTGGCAGGCTCTTGCAGCACATTCATCCTACATAACTGACAGGAATAAAGTTACTTTCTAAAATGCCATTATGTCCAGGAAACTTGTGAGGGACTTTTTTCTGTTGATGTAGACAGAATTTCTAAAGATTCCTCTGCCGATGGTGAAACATCTGTATTGTGCAGGGAGCTCCACCTACATCAGTATTCAGCAGTAAGAAACCAATGCTTGTATCTCCTATATTTACTTATGAAAACAGACATTTTTGCCTACAGCACCAGAGTTTTTTGTTGAAAAGAACAGAAATCCTCTATAGGTCCTAAGGGAGCCATTGCAGAAAGGGAGTAATCATTATAAACCATGCTGTATGTACTATACCATGTCGCCATGAGAAAATTACGCTTATAATTGGCTTATAATATAGGTCTTAGTAATCCCTTAAGTAGTGATTTTGTTAACTGTGCATGCCGCAGTGTAGTCCTAGTGACTGCTATATAATTATTACAGTGTTTCCAAATCGATCACTTGGATCCAAGTAGATTTCTGATGATCAGGATGGTTTTAGATGGGAGAAGAGTGACTGAGAAACCTCTCAATGAAGGTGGCATACCACACAGAAAAATCAGAAATAATTTTGATTACAAATGGCAGGCTGTTGACAAATGTAAATAGGTACAGAGATCAAGAAGAAAAGAACTGAATATAGGAGAAACACTCCAACAAAGAGAATTATCTGCATTTATCATGTGTATCAGAAAGGCGAATTTTATTTGGGTTTTTCAGGATACTTATTGCCCTGTATTTTAGCTCTCAACTAATGCAAATAATTAGCATTTATTTTAAGGGTCCAGGATTTAAACCATGGAATTTGAGTTTCTCTTTTACTTCAGGGTACTAGGAGACCAAAGGGTGCAAAAGAAAGTACTCTACAAGTTATGTAGAAGCACTGACACCTGTACTGTGCCTGAAACCCCCAGACATTGTATGCCTAAGTCAGTAAATGTAATTATTAACTTATTCACTCTTTACAAATCACAAAGTATATAATTATTTCATATTCTTAAAATATAAAAAATTTATCTTTGGAAACTTCATGAGCTGATCTTAAAAAAATATCATCAGTGCTCAAAATCAATTTGACAAATGTATTGAGCCCTGAACTCTTAGTACAATTAATGTACACATTGCCTTTGCAGTAAGTTGTATACCTAATCATAAAGTAAAAACACTGGTAGATCAGTTAAAGGAATTAGTGGTTGGGGAGGGGGAGGATGGTGATAAAGTAATTAGTATCATAAGTTCAACAAAGATTTAAAACTGTGGTACATGGCAATAATGGATTTTGAACACAGTTAATGAGCATATTCATTGCATTCTTTTTTAATTAAGTGGAAAAAATACAGGTCCTTTAAATGGAGATAATAAATGTGCAAGTCAATCTTGCACAAACACGCAACACAAGAATTTATTGCCTGCTGTCTAACTAGGGAACTGGGAATCATTATAAAGATTAGCTTTACTGAAAAAAAATATCCAGAAAAAGCTTTAGCAGCAAATGTTGACGAGGCAGTCATTTTAGCATTAAATATGGCTTGGCATATTTGGTAGAGTGTGTGTGCTTGTTTTTAAAAATATAGGATTTTGCTGTCCTACCTCTGATGACTGTTTGTACCCTTGAAAAGGATTCAATGCTATTTACTACTTTAGATTTACAAGAGACGTATTTAGCGTATGACTACACATGTAATAGAACATAAAAATATCAGAAACCCCAAAGTTTTCTCAGAGGTGTGTTATGCTTGTGCTTAGAATACACAGTGTGGTTTAAAAGTAAAGTGCTGGCTTGGAACGCTACAGCGGTGAACTTCCAGATGCTTGCTGGGCTTTACTCGACGTGCTTTCTCTTGCCCTGTGGAACCATGGGGGCTCTCAGGGTGTCAGGCTGCAGCGGGGGAAATCCAGCTGAAATGCTTCGTGGGCAACTGAAATGCTTCCCAGGCAACTAGTGACAGGACGAGAGGGCACGGCCTGAAACTGCGTCAGGGGAGGTTTAGGTTGGATCTCAGGAAGCTCTTCCTCACGGAGAGAGTGATCAGGCACTGGGATGCCCTGCCCAGGGAAGTGGTGGAGTTACTGTCCCTGGAGGTGTTTAAGGAGAGGCTGGATGTGGCACTTAGTGCCACGGTCTGGCCGATGTGGTGGTGTTGGGTCATAGACTGGACTTGATGATCTCAGAGGTCTTGTCCAGCCTCAACAATTCTGTGATTCTGTGTTTGTCCTTTCAGTGGGCAGCTGGGGAACTGAAATGAAACAGGTTAAAGCACTGAAGCCATATGTACCTTCCAGAGCAGCGGCTTTCAATGGTTTTATTACTTGTGAACCGCCTAAATGTTTCCAGTGGAAGCAAGGACCTTTGTGGGACTTACTGAAGCTTTATCGATGACAGTGACTGGCATTTCTTCTTTACCTTTCATGGATCCATTTGAAGTTGTTCAAAGATCCCCAGGGATATGCGCACCACGTGTTAAAAGCCGATGAAACTAAATCAAACTTAATATGTTTCTTTCTCTCAAAGCTCCCAGCCCATATCTCCCTTGTCAATATTACCAGAATACCAGGTTCTTTCTGACACACGGTACATCTCTAGGTTTTTGCTGAACAAATGTCTCGCTGGGATATGCCTACTCAAAGTGTCCTTCCAAGTTTCCCTAAGCCACCTTAACTTTCAGGAGCCTGTTGACCACTGGTATTACATGAGGGCGAGTTTTCCATTCCAAAAAGCCCCTGAACTGGTGACGTGCAGTAGACTGCTGGTGATGTTGCAGTATGAATTACTGTGTCACACTGTGGCAATTTTGGTCTTTTTTTTTCTCTGCCTTTATTTTGCCCTATCCCACATGTTGTAATTGCTTTCCATAAAAGGAGCAAACAAAACCATACTCCTGGGCATTTTCAAAATGTGAACTCTGCTTTTATTTTTTTAACCTCACTGCATGATTTTATTATGTATTTAGGCCAGTAGCAACTTGGAAGCTAAGCTTGAAATAGCTGGCTTTCGTAGCATACTTTTAGCATTAAACAGGAAAAAAAAATAATTGCAAACTGCAGATTCAGTTTGTTGATTAAAGCAGGAAATTTATAAAATGTATGGAAAATTTATCAGTAAATAAACATTTTATTTTCTTTTCTGTTCAGGTATGACTTTGTAGAAGTTGAAGAGCCTAGTGATGGCACTGTTTTAGGGCGCTGGTGTGGTTCCAGTAGTGTGCCAAGCAGACAAATCTCCAAAGGAAACCAGATCAGAATAAGATTTGTGTCTGATGAATATTTTCCTTCTGAACCTGGATTCTGCATCCATTACACACTTCTTATGCCGGTAAGTAACATGTTCCAGATTGGAACATTGCAGGAAAAAAAGAATTCTTTGAAGTGGCAGCTCAAAAGAATCTTTTAATAGCTTAGGATTAATTACTATTTATTTCTTAATAATAGTAATAATGATGAGCAATCTCTTTTCTAGAACTGTACAGTTTGTTTCTGTGTTTTAATTGAGTGTTCTTGTGGTTCTTGGATGGCTTTGGACTGGGAAGTTACAGGCTCATTTGTTTGTGTCGAAATTTCAAAAAAATGTTTGCGTTCCTAATACCATACAGTGGAAAAAAACTTTCTAGTCCTAAGAAGAAGCAGAATCAGCATAAGAATCAGCTGCATGACACTGAAAGAGCATAGGGAAGTTACAAAGAAGGTTGAAGAAATTAATGTTTCTATTAGTCAGCTGCTATTAGACATACACAGTCAAATGATTATACCTAGTTCAAAAACAGTTCTTATGCTTCTGGATTGTTTTATTATAGTGACAAAGCAGGCAATGCATAATACTCATTTTGCACTGAATTTTCCCTGGAAACTGTACTTTAGACTTCTCTTGAATGTTGCTTAATGCTTGTAAATTGCTGGTATTAAACAATAGTCATTGTTTAACATGTCACTATTTTCACTGTCAACAGATTTCTGTTACCTTTTTTTTTACCAAATGAGAGATCTGTGATATCAAAACAATGTTTATAAATTTTTAAGGACGAGATAATCTGAATCATTAGAGTGGAGGAGAACAGAGACTGACTTATTCTAAAATAGATATACAAAGAATAAGGAGTATTTTTGTGAAATTCCTCATAAGTCACTTTGTGAATCTCCCTAAGAAGTCTTGTGGTCTGTGGTATTTTGTTGGTGGAAAATATCTGCAAGCTCAATAAAAAAGTTGATCAAAAGAACTCATGTTGTAACCCCACTGACATGTGCATCACTCAAAATGCATTTGGCTTGCTTATTGCTTTTGCCATTTTTGCCTCTTCTCCACATTTGCAAAACTTTAGTTACCAAGAAGAACCAAAGAACAATGCTGCATATCTTTTCAACAATACATAATCCACTACATACTATATTTAGCATACTGATGATGATGTCGGTGAAGCGTAGTTGTGTGTGTGTATGTTGTTTTCTGTTCTTTGCCTGTAAGTATTTTTAAATATTTAGGCCTAACTAAAAAGTATTCCTAAAGCGATTAAAGGTACGATCTGCATACTTGAGTCTTTTGTTAGGCCCTTTTGTTAGCAGAATAATATGACCTGATAATGATGAATTTTGAAATTAAATGAAGTGTCAGTCTCCAAACCAACTTGAAATATCTCCAGGTTTAAACTTTCTTACACCCAAGGGCAGAATGTAGTAAATATGTTTACTTTTAGAAAATTTTAAAAGAAAATCCCTTGATAGATGTATTTGTGGGCTCTACTATTACATCTTACCTGCTACATATTTATCTGACTTATGTATGAGCCAATTCCTGTGGAATGGATTAAACAAAGGCACCTGAAAATACCAGAATATGTGTATAATTTTCTTTATGCCATGCTGTACAAATGGGCTGAGTGTATTCCTTGACATTTGAAAGAGAACACTGGTTACAACATTTAAATTATCAATCATTGCAAAGCAATTATTTAATCTACAAAATATTTACACCACTTACCCAACAGACGAAAACAGAGGTGACATAATAGGATGTATTTTTAGTTCCCTGTTTTTCTCAGTCAACAAAGCGCATGTAGCATAAGAATTATAGATACATTTTTAGAAACCAAGCATCTTATCTCTCACCTATGCAACAGACAAGAGCAATCCCGTTCATGTCATAGGAATTCAGAACTAGCCTCAAAATCTGTAGTATAACACCTGTTTCCTAGTGAGGATTATTTTCTCTTTTTAAAAGGGCTGTGATCTTTTTCATCAAAAATTATGTTTTAATAATCCATGCAAAATATAATTTAACATTTCAGACTGCAGATTGTAAATGAAGTTTATATTGCTCAGTTTCAAGATGAGACCTGCTTCTTGCACCTAAATCAATTGAAAACTGATGTCAAAAAAGGCGATTTTCTTTAAAACTGTAATGTTATCTCATCCAACATTTCAAGAGAAAGTAAAAGGCCTCGTTCCCCTCACACCTCCCTGCAAAAAAACTTCAGCTATAGGAATGAGTGTAATTTCTAAATAATTTTTGCAAAAACATAACTGACTCACTTAGCGATTCACTTCAATAAATTGGTCCTAAACAGTTAAATTTCTTTTTTCCTCTTGTTTTTTTTTTTTTTTTTTTTTACAAGAAGGGGGAGGGGGAGATGCCCAGTAGACTGGCAATGAGAGATTGTTTGGGGAGAAATGAAGCAAAACTGAAATAAAACAGTGCAAGCTTGTTTCTGTATTTGGAGGCCACACACAGAGAGAGACACCGGACCCATTTTCAGGTCTTTTAAAGAGCAAGAGAAATGGCTTTGTTTGAATCTGCTGTAATTTATTGTATGTATGTATTTTTACTTTGTATAATATATTTCAAACCAACTTTTCACATGATGAATAAGTGGGGGGAGAATGGCTATTGATCTCATTACTTACTTTTACGATTTTGTCACTCAGAAGGACTTGCGGCAGTTCCAACGTCAACAGATACAACATCATTTCCTAGACAGGTTTACCATGGGGTTGTAAGGCACTGCATAAAATCGGTGCATGCATGGTAAACAAGCAGCCCCCCGAGAAATTCTGACATGAAGCATTTCTTCAGATTCCACCAAATTACAGTTCAATAATATAAATTTCTTTAATTTCAAATAGTGTACTCTGATTATATCTAGAACTTTCTGTAATTCCGGTCTAACTCCACTTTCCTCTGTTATATAGTTGCAAGTTAATTTTGCCTGGAATATCATAAAGCAGAAGTATTGAAAAAGCTTATTCTTAATAAGAAATATAGTTTGTGTTATTTCAAAATTATTGTGCTACTTTCAGCACTGCTGTTATTATTAGTCACTCTTTTCATGTTCCTCACTGTCACTTAGTCTGTGCTTACTGGGGAGCTGCTTTATTTACCAAGGGGCTGCTTAGCGGTTGTTCTGCATTTGGACTGTTCAGCTATGCTTTTATTAAAAGTCATGTTTTTGGCAGCACTATACCAGCTGAACCCTCCTAGAACTTTATTGCAAAATCAATCCATATTTCATTTCTTTCCCGCTTCTACTCACTTGCACCCGGTTACAGCTCTAATCCATATAGTAGCCACATGCATTTTGAGGGAAACCTTAGAAACTCATTATAATACATGTTTGGGCTTCATTCTTCGTAGTGACTTGTTTAGTTTAAGTTATGTCAGTTACAAGTTTGGCAGAGAAAACTTGATGTAATAAAGTCCATTGTTACTTGGGGGAGCGAGTGAATGGGATACTTGATGCCTGAGGTGCCATTAAGGAATGCGTGACTGATTGCCAAAGTAGTTATTAATTATTCAGGGCACTCAGAACAAAGCAGCTCCAGTTAAAATTGAAGTGGGGGTGAATGTATTCCCCTTCTTTTTTTGGCATATGGTAGCATGTCAAAGATCATGCCAAAGATCTTTGCAAAGAACAGACTTAACCCTCTTCTATGCAAGTGAGGAGGAAGAGGAAAATCCAAGAAGATGCTTCAAGACTGACCTGGTTTAAAAGTACCTTGGCAGGTGTTTTGTGATTTTGGTGCGGTAGCCATATGGCTACCTCGATTTCACTCCAAGGGAGATTTGTTGGTTTTTTTGATACAGAGAATCTGCTAGTAGTCCTTTTGCTATTAACAGCAATGAAGATGAAATTTAATACTGCGCACATAATCTGTTTGGGGCTATCTAATAGTTGTTCCTTAATTTCATACAAACTGGCTAAGCTTTGCTCTTATAGGGTTCAGCATGTTACTTTTGTTTGTGCAACCTTTTAATTGAGCTTTTTTAATGAAAAAGGCAAATAAAGCTTTATTATAAATAGAAAAAGTGCGTGCTAATAGAACAGAGAAAGGAAAGTTCTTACCTCGCATTCCCTGCCTTTCAAACATCCACAGATTTCCCAGATATCTGGTGTGTATCTTGCATATCAGTACCAAAGTCGCCCAAGAGAGGCTTAACTGTGGCTACAATAGCAGAAAATCCATCCAGAAACATCATAAAGGACGTTGTTGATCTCCTAAACAAAGATTTTTCTATACTCTCTTAAGAAGTAATCAAAAGATTTTAGAAATTACATAATTTCAAGGTTGTTTGGTACAAAGCATTAGGAGAGTGTACAAGTGTTATTTAGCACTTTGCAACGCCACATGAAGTTAAAAAGGACTGTGAAAATCCTTAATATGATGGGAAGAACTCTTAAACAAAACCTCTGTGTTCAGTTTCCACTCAAATATAGTATAGTGAGATAAATCAACAAACTTCTGAAGGTGCTCCAGTGTGCAAATTCAGTCAATTTGTGTGTGTGTGTGTAGCAAATTCTTTACTTGGAGATTTCATTTTGCGTTAATTTTGTTCTTGACAACCAAAGGTAATTTTCTGTTAAAGTTCTTAAGTGGGACATTAAAGATTACCCCAAAATACACAGATTGGAGTGACATCCTTCAGATTAATAAAAAAATCTACAAAAAAGTACAAAACTGAGGCTAGCTATTATCCACTGGACTACAATGAGAGGGGAAAAAATATTTTTTGAAGCAGAAAGAACCTCTGGAGGTTATCAAGTCATAACATCTTCTTTTCCTGTGACTATATCTCATTTTGTCACATGAACATCATAAAAAAACTTTAAAAATATGTGCATGTGAAGGAGACTCACAAGGAGACAGGGCTAGAAATGAATCTAGCAACATTTTTCAAGCAAAATTGTGGACTGGTACAGAAGTCAGTGGAAGTGTGTCGTTGACCTGCACAACCTGAGATGTCAGTGTGCATTTTCTGAGACTCTAAAGGCAAGAGAGTCATTTTGATCCAGGTTGGTTGTCATTAAGTTCTTGAAAGGATTTAACATA